CAGAGCGTAGTACACAGTGAGTAGTGGAATATATACATGTCGGACTGTTTTGGCGAGAAGATTTTCGCTAAACTATTTACATCAGTGTTATAACAACAGGTTTATCATGAACAAAATGCCTCGAAATTAATAGGATTACAAACCCGAAATAGAAATTCTAAATTTAGTATTATATGATTTTATTCAAGTTTCTTCGTATAACCTCTCCGTGGTGAAGGGGTAACGCGCTCGTTTAGGGTGTGAGAGGTCTGGGGTTCAAATCCTAGTCAAGGCACCTATTTTTTATGAGGAAGAAGCCACGATATGCAAGGATTAAGTGTGGCTGTCATAAAAAAATGAACATAAATGATTTTTTTATGCAACTCTAGTCATGCAAAATTCCGTATGTATCAAACTTAAACTGTTATAGTAAAAATCTAAACGCAGTCACTGCATCTGATGAATTATAGTATACAACAATAACTTTTACAGGAAAATACATACAGATATACAGTACGATTTAGATTGCAAAGATCAGAAAAAACCACAGAGCTTGCAGTTCTTTGATTGTATAAATTTCATTGGACACAGTACAGGATACGGCAACATTCAAGCTTAATTGGTGGAGGAAGACCATTACTTCATGCAAGAATGGGCGTCTAACTGGATCCACCGAGCCAGCTGGATTATTTCCTAACATTTAAAATAATCCAAAGTCATTGATAAGATTCGAACCCACTTCGGTTAGGGGCAAGTGATTTGAAGTTAGTAATGTTAAGTAGAAAGAGAAAACAAATCCTAATAAACTCAGTTTGTTTTTTAACAAAAACCTTTATATCAAATAATAAGTAACAAGAAAGATTAAAGTAAGTTAAACATATTAAATTTTATCAAATATTACATAACTGTTCAATCATGTCAAAGGAAATTTGTCGAGTTGATAATTTGTAAATGCTAAACGAAGTAGAAAACTGTGCCTTTTTAAGCTAGAAGTATCTGGCTTTTTCGTTATAGTTTAACCTTTTCCCTCATATAGACGTGTTTTGAAGGTTTTTTGTACCCCCTTTGAGGCCCCAATCAGTGAAAAAATGCCCTATTTTTAGGCCCCAAACACTGTTTTCCGTTAAAAAAATGACCACTTTTTCGGCGCCCCCCCCATCCACATGATACATCAAGGGGTTGCCAGAAGGGGGATGTGCCCCTATCTGTTTGGGGGGGGGTTGAAGGGAGGCGGTAGTCCCCCTCCTCGCCGAGAAAATTGTGGACTCAGGTCGATCTTAATGTGACGTGTAACCAACGCTGAAAAGCCTTTTACTCTATCTCATTGCATTGAGAGCACTTTGAAATCAGTTTTGATTAAAAGAAAACAATGCAAAATAGTGATTTTTCGCAATTTTGAGACGTCCCTTCGTTACCATGGTAACGGGAAATTTAAGATTGAGCATGCTGTTACAGAGACTATGATCTAGTCAACATTACATTTTGTGCCATGTTTCATCAGCATTGAGGCATTTTTCATAGTTTTATAGCAGTTGGAACTTGTAACATCAGGCTCTTCAATGAAAACGGCCATTTTTCGCAATATGCTCATGGGGGAAAAAGTTATTTGGTATACTGTACGCATCTGTCAATGTTAAAAATAGCAGTTATAACTTGCACTGATATCTTTTAAATACAGATATTCTTATGTTAAATATTGCAAAATCTATCACAATGATACCAGCATGCGCAAGATTAGATAATCTTTGTATGAGTAGCTTATACATAATTTGCAACATCTCTATGAATAAAAATACGTAATTTAGATGATGCTGATAAGTTTAATGATGAAAAATTGCTTCTCGTCGGCTTATTAGCCTGACCTCATTTGATGTTGCGTGTATATATTCGATTGAATTTAAATATGGTCTATTAACATTATTGTAAACCAGGAAACAAGACTATTTCAGTATGATTCCAGTACAGTTAAATGTTTATGTGAATTCCCAGTATAGCTTTAAGATATATTCACTCTATAAAGAACTGCTTTATGACATCAGTTCAAATGTTAAATGACTACAGCATTAGATACTTATACCATTTTACTATCCTTAAGTTCCAGATGTGACTGTTCAGATTCTGTCCTATATCAGCTTAATCTTTTGTTTAAGGCAAGTAGAATACTATTTTAATACGCGGGCATTCTTCAAAACAGCTTGTTATAGTAGTCTAAGATATTTTAAACATATTTATTTTGGTAATATTGTTCAAATTAGATCAAATGTGTAAAACGCCGTTTATCATGATGTTAAAATGAATCCCTTTGCCTGTTTCCTAAGATATTCATTTACCAACTTTTGAATAAAATAATAGTTTTATTGCAATAGAAAATGTTGTTTTGTGTCTTAGAAATCCTGGATCACGTGTCCGTTTCTTTTAGCGAAATTGATGCAGAAAATGTATTTTATTCCCTTTGTTTAATGTGCGATTATAAAGGTTTTGCTCAAAATCGTTGTACCAAATTGAAGAATTTATTTTAGACGAAAAAATTCAGGTTGTTAACTAGTGGTAATACCATGAATCCTCCTTTTAAACTGTTTTGATGTTTTCTTTGTTTAACAAGATAATTGCATGGAGTGCTTTATTAAACGCCACAACATTGTTTCATTCCAGTTTGAAGAAAATCATTGCAATCATGGCACGGCATGAGTTTTAACAATGATGCGCGACAAATATCAGATTTGACGTCAATAAATAAAAAATAAATGAATTATTACAACAGTGAAAATTGTTCAAAATACTTTCATTATAAGATAATGTTCGTTACTAATCATTTATATTATTTAAAAGGTTTAATTCATCTGAAATTCTGCAATTCTTTTGAACAAATAATAATATCAAACATTTTCGTTTTAAGTTAGCATGTCTTTCGAGAGATATCGTTTTATGTTGTAAAACTTATCATTCAGAAGTTGCATACAGAATTCGTAGTACCAAATTAATTGCTTCAAAAATATATAAGAGAATAGTTTAAATGTGTAATTTTAGTGACTAACTTGGTAAAAATACACTTTTTACTTTAATTATTATTTCCAACATTCAATTGTTTTTAGAATTTGATCATAAATTCTGCAAGACTGCAAACGCCCATAACTAGAAAAATTGTCGTGTTACTTTCCGTGACCAAATCTTACCGAGAGTACGATGCCTATGTAGGTTTCGTGTTTTTGCTATATTATTTTAGTAATTATCTTAGCCACTATTCAAGTTATCAAATCTATGGCAAGTAATAAAATTAGGAGCAGCCCAACAGTCAGCCAAGTTTTTATTTATTTATTTTATTTTTTGTGGGGGGGGGGGGGGGAGGAAGTTGTAACATTTGCTGGGTTTGAGAGATTCTAAAAGACCGTTAAACGCCCTTTTAAGATACACACATGCTCGAATTGGGGCAATATTATCAAGATACCCATGTAAACAAGTCTACAATTACCATAAAGATTTTGTTTTAAAGAATGCAATGTCCACGTATCAAAATAATAATCAACACGACTAAAACAAAGATTAAAGCTTATATAGGACACAATGTGATCAAACATACAAGTCTAGCGCATTAAGAATAGCAAAATGGTATTAGGTTCTTATGTTGTAGTCCTTAAATCATAAAGCATAAAACGAACATTTCTTAAAGTTCCACAGGGTATTTTTATTGGCTTTTAACTGTACTTGAATCGTATCGAAAATATGCTTGTTTCCTGGTTAATGAACCGTTTTTAAATCCAGTCTTAATTCACGCAATATCAAATGAAGTCAGGCTAATATTCCGGCGAGAAGCAGTTATTCATCATTTAAGTTATCAGTATTATTCAAATTGCGTTTTTCCCTACAGACATTTCCAATTACTTCTATAATATTCATACACAGGTTAACTAATCTTGAACATTGGTATCATTACCACAGAGTTTGCATTATTTGACATAAGAATCTTTGTAATTAAATCCGAAAAGCATGTTATTTCTGCTATTTTTACAATGTCAGATGCGTTAATAAGCTATGTTTAATGAAAATGCTAGATATTTCTCGTTTTCCGTTGCTTCATTTGTGTCCTTAATCAATAATATCAAATTGACAAATTGAAATATTTTGTTTGACTTCATTAAACAGTTGTATAATGTCTTTGAAAATGTACATCTAACAATTATAACCTTTAAAATCTATGTTGCTATTAAAATATTTCATAATAAGCGTGTAATATTTGATGACATATTTAAATAAAGAATTTTGATTCTTTTGATTCTTGAAATTTACCATTTGATATTTTGTGTTTGCTACTTACAGACTGACAATGTTTATCACAATCTGTTCTCTCTTTCATCCAAACATTAGTTATTTCCTTTATTTTATTTTTTAAAAACTTAGATGATAAGAAAATTCAAATTTGACAGATTCTAGAAAAAAGGATTGGAATCAATCAAAATGAAAACGTTGGAACACGCAGACTCCATGTAATGGGAGACAAAGGTTAGTACCTTCATGTATTGGCATTTATAAGCAAAATTTAATTCTCAACACTAAACGTAATGAAATCCATGTTCCCCAAGGACATGAACAAAATGACATGTTTACATCTCTACAATGGATATACATTTTCATAAGTACACAGAAAGTCTAAATGTAAAATAAAATGAAAATTCATAGCATATTTCCGTAACTAAGAATTACTGGTTCTCCGCGTTACATCGTATAGAGGAGAACCATTGTCTAACTGTAACGGATTACATAAACCGGTTTTGAAGGCTTGAATGTATTCAAGCATACATGTGTATTTTATACACGGGTATAAATACCCGCGACAGAGTATGAAAATCAGTTCTAGCGAGATTTCTCTTACGAGATCACCAGCATTCAGCTAAGCATGGACGATTTAGATAGAGTTGTGGAGGACAAGGTCAAGGCGTCCTTGGAAGAACATAAGGAGGACATGTTGAAAGAAATAGGCAGCCTTTTTGAAAAGATAAGTGGCAATTCTAGTAGCAAATTTTCTAGTATGATGATTAACAGTGAAAAGTTTAAGCGTAAAAAGCAATGAGGAACAGTATAAACATAATGCAAAAGTTATGATAAAATTAGAAGACGCCGAGAATGGCTTACAGGATAAGAAATTAGAGGAGTGTAGAGCTAATATAGCAGAAGGTATTTTAAAAAATTTAATTTTAAAAAATTAATTTTTAAAACTTCTATTCTTAATTCTCGAATTATGCAAATGTTCGCACGCATATATGTGCCTAAAACGTCATTCTAAATTGAATTTGTTTATCTGTCGGAAAGGTATTACAATTTTTGAATTTTTTGCAGTAAAGTATAGGTGAATGAAATTTATGAAATTTTAACAAGAGTCGTAAATTATACGTGATGTATGTGTGAATACAAGAATAATCTTAGATAAATGAATTATTAATGTTTTCTGAAGAGAATAATTCGGCAAATGTTTTGTGAAACATGTAGACGATACTCGAGTTATCGGTCATGTAAATGTGTAGTCATGTTTGCACGGGGTTTCCGTTATTTAAATGTATCATTGACTGTAAACAGTTTGATATGGTATATTTCTGCTTTATTGGATTTTTAATTAAAGAACGAAAGTAATCAATTCTTAAGGAAAAATAAACGTTTATAGATAAAAAATTTGTGTGTGAATATATAGAAATTAATTCGTCTATAATTATAATTGATAATAGCATGTTTATTGTTTTTAAGATTATAAAATCATATAGTTTTGATAATGTAAAAATTCGCTGTGTTTTCAGCAAAAGAAATGATGGCTCGTCGACAGAAGCTTATAAAACTTGCGGATTCAGCTGAGTTGGGTTGGAGAGTCGTTCAGGAATATGAAGCCAATCCTTTAGCGAGCGACTCAGACGATGAAAAACGTATCTTAAAAGCGGAAGCGAGGGCTTCTAAGAAGTACAAAGCAGAGAAATCCAAGAAAACTAAGTCTGCACGTAACTGGCCATACCGGAAACAACAGCGTATGTTTACAGAGACCAGTCCCGGAAGTCAACAATTGGTAGGCCGTCAAGGGCGTAGACCTGGGCTGTGCTTGCATGTGGCAAACCGGGGCATTGGCGAGGGGCGCCGGAATGCCCAGAAAGGAATACTAATAATAAGATAAGTAAATGATTTATTTACATGCGTAAACAGAGAAAATATTTTACGATGGCTGTTGTGATAGTAATTTATCAAACAGCGAAGGTGATGTATTACATATACCATATTTAAATGAGAAATATGTTGAAGAACATAAAATATGTTCGCAGTTACGATCTGTAGAAGAGAACGAAGACACAGTTGTTTCACCAGTAGGTAGGTTAAAAAATTGTGTAAATAAATGGAAAGAGGCATCGGATAGTGCATATATTATTCAGGTTGTTGAAAAGGGTTATATGTTACCTTTGAAGGAAGTACCGCCAAGCGTAGTACTTAGAAATAATAGGTCCGCAAAGAGATAATATTAAGTTTTGTAGAAGAAGAAATAGAGCGCGTCTTTTAAAAAAAAAAGTAATATCTAGGTCTATGGTTAAACCACACGTAGTAAATCCCTTAACTGTCGCTTATAGCAAATCGGGAAAGCCTAATTAGTACTTGATTGTAGACACATAAATTTGTTTTTGCATAAATTCAAAGTAAAATTTGAAGATATCAAAGTAGCAGAAAAAATGTTTGAGAAAAACTCATTTTGTTTACATTTGACTTGAAAGGGGCATATCATCATATTGATATTTTTTCAGAGCACCGCACATATTTAGGGTTTTCATGGATAAGCGATTGTAAAACAAATTATTATTTTTTCAATTCTTTACCATTTGGAATAGTACCGCAGGACATATTTTACAAAAATGTTAAGAGTTGTTGTGTCTTTTTTAAGAAGTAAAGGTCACCAAGTCATTATGTTCTTAGATGACGGAATTTGTGGTCATGTCAATTATGACGTAGCTAAAAGATCCAGTGCTTGTGTGAAAACGACACTTTGTGATTTCGGTTTTCTTTGGCAGACGAGAAATGTAATTGGCAGCCGACAAATAGAGTAGTTTGGCTTGGCCATATTCTGATATGTCCGAAAATTTGTTATACATAACAGATTCTAGAATAGAAATCTTGAGAAATCAATAGATTCTGTTTTATTTCAAATCAAATTCGATAAATTGGGTATCATTAATGTGAAAACTTTAGCATCAGTAGTAGGAAAGATTATTTCTCTTCAAAATGTTATAGGGGAATAAAGTCAGAATAAGAAGCAGAGAAATGTATAGATGTATTATGTCTAGAGCAAGTTGGAATGCTCCAGTCAAGGTAAGTGAGCCAGCTATCGCAGAATTAAAATTCTGGCGAGAAAATGTGAGGAAATTAAACCAAAAAGGGAAATATTTCAAAGATATGTCAGTTTGTGGAGTAAGTATATATGTCGATGCAAGTTCGGAAGGGTATGGTGGATTCATACAAAATGAGCAATTTACTGAGAAAAAAGACAAAGAGCTTGATAAAATCTATTCTCAAGGTGAGATATCTATGTTTCCTATATTGAGTGTACATTCCGAATGTATATCGGATATATGTACAGATAAACTTGTGTTCCCGGAAGTGAACCTAGTTTCCGAATACAAGTCGGAATTGAACATTAATGACAGTGGGCTCCAAGAAGTGAGCATCGACTCCGATTTTCTATCGGAAGTGTACACCTGTAAAAGCAAACTCCCGGAAGTGAGTATTAATTTCGAAGAGATATTGCACACAGATAGTAGTCAAGTGCTCCCGGAAGTGAGCTTTGATACCGATTGTATATCGGAATGTCATAAAAGTAAAGACAAGCTCTCGGAAATGAGCTTAGTTTCAAAATGTCTCCCGGAAGTGAGTCATGGCTGGTTTAACGAATGTAGAAATAATTCTAAAGGGCCCCAGAAGAGGGCAAGGTTTTCACAGGCGTTCCTGGTGTTGACAGGAATGATTTGGTTAGCACTCTGGTTCAGAATGTACGTTATATGCCTAAAAGAAATGGTAAAACTGAGTAAAGCTTACAAATCCTTTACGCCAAATAGGCCAGGGAAGGGAGGAGTAATTGCGGAAACGGAATTTCAGGTAATTGGTAAGTGGGACGATTTCGAAAGAGTTCGTAGTTCCACGTGGAGAGAAACTGAAGCTGTAAGTAGAGTGATTAAGAGCAATGCACATGTATTAAAGAATAAGCAAGTTCAAGTATTGTCTGATAATAAAAATGTTAAATCCATTTTATTAAACGGAAGTAAAATTTCCAAGTATTCAAAAAACGGCATTAGATTTAGACATTTTTGTGAAAATGAAAGTATTGTTTTATGTCCGGAATGGATTCCTCGGGAACATAATGAGCTTGCAGATTATCTGAGTCGCTGTAAAGATTGCGATGATTGGGAAATACACGACAGTGTGTTTTCACGTATTGACCGTTTATGGGACCGCATACAATGATCGTTTTGCCTCTCACTTAAATAATAAGTGTTTAAGATTTAATTCCCGTTGGTGGGTACCAGGCACAGACGGTATAGATTCGTTGTGCAAGAGCTGGGAAAAAGAAAATAATTGGCTTGTTCCGCCACCAAAGATTAGTAGTGCACTGCATAAATAAGATAAATAGAGAGCACATAAAATGTACATTAGTTCTGCCTAAATGAAAAGTGCTCCTTTTGGGGCCGATGTTGATCAATGAAAACGGAAATTTCAAATTTTGTTAAACAGGTATTAAATTGTACAGAACAAATGTTGTTGTCGGGAATGGTTATAATGGCACATTGATAATGAACCATTAAAATTTGATATGATAGCTTTAAGAATAATTAGTTAGGTGATGTAAGATTATTATATATGGTAATATTTTTTCAGGTGTTGGCTTAAAATCTACGTTGAAACGTAAAATGCAGGATGCTGGAGTTTATAGCAGCGAAAATGGACACTATTGCTAGCAATATGGCAGGCTATTTACTGCAGTCACGTGCTGATAGTACTACAACTAAATATAAACATTGTTTTACTTTATTTGAGGAATATTGTAAAGTGAATTCGCTTACAGCACAACCCGCACAATCAATCATTGTTGCCATGTATTTGGTAAATTTATTGGATCAAGAAAATCGTATCACGTTATTTCATCTGCATTTATGCAATTAAACGGGTGCATAGATTAAATGATCAACCAGATCCTACGGACAGTAACATTGTACAAAATTTGTTAGAAACAGCGAAAAGAATTCGTTCTACACCAACTTCTAAGAAAGATGTTGTTGATACAGAAATGTTAAAAACTTTATGTGCTTTGTACGAGAATTCCACAGATGTTTTAGAATTAAGAGATTTATCAATGATTTTAATTGGTTATGCTGGATTCTTAGGTTTAATGAATTGAGTAATTTATTGTGTAAGGATGTTGAATTCAAAATAGATCATATTGTTTTAAAGATTCAAAAAAGTAAGACCGATATTATAGATCGGGTAAAGAAGTTTTAATAGCTAAAGGTTGTTCGGTTGCATGCCCGTATTCAATGTTACAAAGGTATATGACAGCCGCTCATTTGTCTGTTATTTCAGATAGTTATCTTTTTAAGCCTGCGTTTAGATCAAAGGGTAAATCATCACTTATTAAACTCAACAAAAAATTAAGTTATACAAGGGCTAAAGAATGCATTGTGAAAAAGCTTAAAGTAGTTGCTCCGTCTCTTAAATTAGGAACACATTCGTTAAGAGCAAGTGGTGCTACCATGGCCGCAAACGCTTCCGGCGTTTCCGATAGATGTCTTAAACGTCATGGCCGTTGGAAAACAGACGTAGCAAAAGACGGTATATTGAAGATTCTGTTGAGAAGAGATTATACGTTACTAAATCATTAAAGATGTAATTAATTATTGAATTTGAATGCAATCGGCACTAAACTTTGCATGTCTATAAAATAACCTCGCTACAATGCACAACATTGTTGTTTGTTTATTGTAAGTTAGAGTAAGACTTACTGGTTCTCGCGTTACATCGTATAGAGGAGAACCATTGTCTAACTGTAACGGATTACATAAACGGTTTTGAAGGCTTGAATGTATCAAGCATACATGTGTATTTTATACACGGGTATAAAATACCCGCGACAGAGTATGAAAAATCAGTTCTAGCGAGATTCTCTTACGAGATCACCAGCATTCAAATTCAATATTTATTATGTTATAAGATTATGTTAAAGCCATAATTAAGCAAACTGTTTTATAAGGGAAAAATTACAATGTTAGTGAAAAATTTATTGAATGTATTGGTTTATTTCAAGTTTGTATATGTGGAACTGAACATGTATTTTGATTAAGGAAAATATATTGATATGTATATATTCAATATGTACGTTAGCATGTCTGAGCACGGTCCGTGTTTCGATATTCCGAGGAATAGTCTGAGAGAGATCACTTTTGTGTTTCCTCCGTGCATGCCCACGGATTCTACGGTTCCTCTTACATTAAAAAAAGATAAAAAGGGGTTTTACGCAGGCGGCCAGTATTCCTGTGACGAATATACGATCGAACCTGTTAAGTTTTTTAATTTACATTTTATCATGAAATGTCTTGGACATAGTACAACAGTTTTGATCGTGATATGCTTTATACATATGTATGTCTCATTGTGATATTTCCTCCTGTTATAACGATCTCGTAATAAAATAACCTCGCTACAATGCACAACATTGTTGTTTGTTTATTGTAAGTTAGAGTAAGACTGATATATTTTCGATGATTTAAATATTTATCTACAATAAGGCCGACATTAAATATATCGTCCATTATCAACATAAATGAAATTTGTAAAAAAGACATCTCATTTAAGGCTTTACATTGTGTTTGAAAAATTAATTGTGTGAATACCTACTGATGTTTATTATCACTTATTTTGTGTGTGTAGAAATGAATAATTTTAGGTATATTTTAAAGCAAAATGGTTTTACAATTTAAAAATCCATGTCAGACACTTAAATCTCACTTTAATTTTTACAAGCTCGATAATAAAACGGAAGAATGGTAGTCATTTACAGAAAAAATGTAATAATTGTTTTATACTGTATTACATTACTAGTATTTTTGCATGTTTTATCAAAATCAGTCCAGGCGAGAATCAAAA